TATGAATATAAATGGATATTTTACTGCTGCTATACTGGGGCCGTAGCAATAGTCCGAAGGTTCAATAGTCCGAAGGTTCATTGGTCCGAATATTCACTATAGAACCTTCGGACCAATGAACCCTTGATTAAAAAATCGATGAAAATGTTACCACTTTTCGGACCAATGAACCTTCGGACCAATGAACCTTCGGACTATTGAGACGCCCCCGCTATACTTACAGACAGAAACATGTTAATAATGTCTTTGGTTATTTAAATTCTGTTAAGTTTTTCAACAGCTCAAATTAATTTGATGCTCTAAAATATGTACGGGGCATATTAAATTCTGTATAGCACATCAATCATATTCATGATTAGAAGTATCATTAATCTTCACCGTTATCGTGGTCTTAGTTTTCATCATAAAATGAAAATGTGCGTGTTTAATTGTCTAATCTTTAAGACATGATACGACTATTTAATAAACTAATTTCTGGTAACGTTAACAGGTGCCTAACTCAGCAGAACACGTCTCCATCTTTGCCTGGGCTGTTTGAAGTCCGAAGAGGACACGAACGAAACTTATTCAAAAAGCTGAAACCTAATCAAATTACTATAATTTTAAAACATGAAGATCTAAACAGAAACAACCAGACTCTATACTACGCTGTCTTCTCCTTACTTACTTGTTTAAGGGCAATATTTTCTCCAGGAGCAAGTCCAGCGAGTCGAGACTTATTCTTCGCCTCTGCGCTCGCCTTTCCTCTTGACTTCGGTTTGTCCGCCATAGTTCTATTTCTCCGTTTCAAATCACTGCACAACGCCGGAATTGACTAGATTTGACTCCAAAGAGTCTGTTTAAAACACTCCTAATAGTTAAATTCTGATTGTTTGTCCTTATTCTTGTCTTTAACTTCTTTTAGCGTTGACAACCTGTGAAAAGGTCGCTCGTCTCCGCCATCTTGGTCTGTTTATGAGTTTCTAAGGTGGGATGCTCATTTGCATATCAAAATAGCCCCCTCTATGTAGCCCTTCTCCGAGCAAGCAAAACCATACAAAAGACATATTCACACACAGATTTGTTGCAGTAGAAAGAAAATATACGTTTGATTTAACTCGAATAGAAGCTTTGGGGAGTACTTCTATACTGTCAAATTTTGATATGTTTGCATTTGTAATTTTTTCTTCCTTATTTCAATATCAGCTACGTGCTTAGGAGACGGAAAGTTTTGAAACGGGATCATGTAAATAAATATTGGCTTTGTAAATCTGTTGCTCGTAGTTCAGATAAAAAAGATAAATAAATGTTTGTAAATTATAAACCAGTTTGGCAGATGAATGTCAAGGCAAACCGACAATACAAAGAGTTGGTTTGACCTTAAAAATATTTTTGAGGACTACAATTCATAATTATACTTACAAGATTGTATAGATTATATTAAATTGTGTGAGAATATACACGGCGCTCTGTGTGGTAAGAGATAAAAATGTGTTTAATAACTGTAAAAAGTTTAAAACACACAATAAATGAATCTTATAGGAGCAAAGTGAAAACATTAAAGTTGTGTAAATTTATTTAGAACAGTACATACATTACATATTACTTTAATAATCATAATATTGTTATTTATTAATTTTTTTCCAGAGCCAGACGTGTCTGATATTCATGGTCTTGGGATTCTCTCTCTAGACAGCTTACAGGGAGATTGACAGAGGGAGACGACTGGTACGACAAACCCCTTCAATAATTCCCCAGCCAAGCAGAAGTAAAAATGTTTACATAACATCTGAATGCATTTGGCTCGTTTTCACACATTGACCGTGTCCAAGCTTATGCTCTTGCACAACTGACCCATGAAGTGGACAAACCAAAAGGACTGACCACTCGTCAGATATAATAATACAAACATTCAGGGGACCATGACTCTCACGATCACTAATGACTGACCGACCGCCGGAGAACCCAGTATGGGTTATGCTGCAGCTGTTGAAACAAATACAGCAAACTGTAAACATGGGACAAGTTGGGCTGGAGAATTTGTACAAATTACAATACAAGGAATCGACTAAGACATTGCTCATAAATTTCAGCAAAAGCCAAACAGAATTCTTTGTCACAAAATAAGTTAAAAGATCAATGGTAATTTGAGTGAAAATGAGGTGAATTATTAACAAGGACTTTTTCGGTTAATACAGTTAGCTGCATTGAGCATCGATATTGATCAAAAATATTTTAGCTAATTATATTTTAAATAAGAACTAAGTATTGGGCAGAAAATTAAACAAAACAATAAGCACAACCTTTTTATCCCAAAGAACACAAAACCATCTACACTAAATTTCCACCAGAATATGCAGGAAAATAAAACAATTCACACCACAACAACAAATAAATTGTCCACTAACTTTATTAACAGGTACCATAATATACATGACAATGTCCCTGGCACCTTGATAATATATAAACATGAATTCTGAACAACTTGTCTAATATATAACATACAGCATCTTTGGCACAGTTATCTCTAATTATATATAACTTTCAGTTAATGTGTTAACAGGGGCAGGGAACCTTTGAATATGACAAAAACCTAACATTTAAAGGATGAATATATCTTGTCCAAATTCAGCATTGCTTCGAATATAATAATTAATATGTATAATTATGAAGAGAAATATTAGTACAGTATTGGTGGTCAAATGTAAAGTGATGACAACACATTCCTGGAAATTCACTTCCAGTAAGTACATCAGGGGTGTAATTTTGGTAAAAACATACCACGTTGCCTCTCTTTTTCCACCCCTTTCTGCAAAGATTTTTATTCCAAAAAGACACCTTTTATAACCTGACAGTTACATGTATGTCACTGCAGATCAAACTGGTTGTGGTCCAATGTCCACTTTCCAGGGAACATTTCACTTTACATTTAGTCCAGTCATACTTTTTCCTACTGAGGACCCACAACACTGGTTTGTTGGGTTTTTTCTTATAACACACTCTAACAAATATGTACATTGATTTAATCCATACAGAGATAGCTTGAATGCTGTCTAAATATTTGCCATAAGCCGATTTCATTTACAGTTAAATGATTAAATGATACTCCTTTTGAATGTAAATGTTTCCTTTCCTTCCTCGTCCCCCTACAACAAAAGCACATAGTCTTCCATAAAGTATGAGGTTATCACTGTTGCCAGCGTTCGACTCTCATTCAAGTGGAAAATCACCTTGACGATACTTTTGATTAAAAAATCTTGGATTTTTTTGTAATGTTTGTGAAAAGCCCTATAACAAGAAACAGGTAACATATATTTACAAAGCTACAAAAATGTATACAAATAATGCACTTTCATTGCAACAGATATGAAATTGAAATGAATTCAACAAACAGTAACGATGAATACCAATCAATATTTACATGTACAACCTTGCAAAATATTACAAAACAACTCTACCCTAACTTTACATCAAATGCAAAAATATATGCTCAAACAATAATATTTTGCTTGCAAATCTTCTTCAACATCTTTTCTACCCTTGTTTTGAATGTTTCTTGGTGCTTAAAGAGCAAGAAAACTAATAAGTAGAAAATAATTTTGTATAAAAGAAAATACATTGCATATCTAAAATGTCTGTATGGTACAGGAGGCAATAAATGTTTACAAAATGCTTCTGGCAGCAATTTGATTCTTTATTGTCAAATGCCTTAAGTTTGTAAAATTAATCAACAAATCTTTCCAGAGTTGCTCACTTCTTGCAGTTTTCAAACAACTAACATCTGGAGTTTAAACCTAGTTCTTAACAAGGTAAAAGCTACTAGGCAGTGTATAAGTTGTATACTGAACATTTTACAATGTGTTACACAAGGATATAGTTATACACCAACATCTTTATTGTTTTTGATTACAAAAAAGTTTGCTTCTCTAATCATAAAAAGTGCATAACAATACAACTACAGTGTATCTTTTTTTTTGTCTGTTAGATTACAACAAAGGTGCATTTACATTACTCCATCACAAAAATACTAAAAACATGACAAGGATGAGCCTTAGAAAGCTTTACCTTTTTTTTTTTATTCTTAGCCAAATTTGTAATTTTTCTCAGCAGTTTGCTTAAGTTCAGTAGCCAATAGTTTAATAACATGACCTGATATTATAGCTATGAATGTTTGTATAATCTGAGGCACACTAATGACTGGATATTGTAAAGCACATATAAGACTCCAGCACCTTTGTATTATCATTCATAATAAGAGCAAGCTGACAAAATTGATACATTGTAATAATAATTTTGTACATAGTATAATTCATTTTGAATAATTCAACATGGGACTTTTAATAATGTTTCTACATATATGCAGACTGTATCATTACAGAATCTTTAAGAACTTGGTCCAACTTGTTTCAGGGGTAACCACTTTGAGAAAATTTCCTCAGATATTGTTATATCCTCTCAGCAATGACTTTAAAGTCAAATTTGCAGCTGTATAAACCAATGTAGCACCAGGCAGGCTTTAAATTTATCTTCACTGCTGTACATGACTGTAGTAAGACTGCAAACATGACAGTTACCAAAAGGATAATAATCTGTCTCTCTGTCATAATGTTAACAAAACGATGATAACTGAAAACAAAGGCAAGCAATGGTCAAAATAACTAGAATATGTGTGAATCATAAGTGCTGGCAACCTCCTTGTTTTCTTAGCTGTTAAATGCTTTATAAGAAATTCTGTTAATTTTTTTTTTCATTTAAACAATACCATGATGTACGCTGGTGCCTTGTGTTCCTGTAACAGAAGCTGATATGTTACTACTGTCTAAATTGATACAATAGAAACACGCCAGGCAGCAGGTGACAAATTTCTCTCCTTAGTTTGATACTGATGATATTGACATTCCACAAGGGTGTCAAATTCCGACAAGATGTCAAGTGTCATGTCAGGTGACATGTGACACTTTTCTCTCCAAAGTCTGGTGCTGTCAATGTTGATATCCCATCTATGTCAAATTTCAGGAAAAAGTGTTAAGTGTCACATGCCAAGTGACGAATTTCTCTTCTTTGTTTGGTATTGCGAATATTGACACTCAGCAACTAAAGATAAACATGCTAAATGTTGCATGACATCCTTCTCGGACACTCCTGTCCCTCAATTGAAGTGAAAACCTCGTCACATGTCACCCTGAACCACTCGGCCTCAGGTTCCTGCACAAAATGTGTTAGGTGGGTATTGCCAATGTAGACATTTCACAAATATCTGTTGAACTTAAGAAGAAATGCAAAGTCAAGTGTCATGATGTGTCAAGTGTCAGATGTCACCATGCCATCTAACACTCCGCCTCCTGCTCTTGCACCACTGGTGTCTGGTGTGTTGTTCCGGTGATGGAGCCACGCCCCCCTCCACCGGCCCCCAGAAGACTGGCCCTGGAGGCGGCGCTGCGGGACTCCATGATCTTGGTCTGACTCATGAATGGGACTGGAGGAGAGAAATAGTATAATTTTTTGGCATAAGAAGGTAAATGGTTAAATCCTTAATCTTTTTTTCAACAAAATAATACAACTGGCTGACAGACCAAATCTTAGTCAGAGAGAGAGAGAGAGAAAATTAATGTCTTTTAATATTTCATCCTGCATCATTATCATCATTACCCTATCCTAATTTTTCCTGTACAACAAAAATCCCAACTTAACAAAAGGTACAACTAAAATAGAGTGTATTAATGTAAAATCAGCCTTCCAGTACATCAAGATCATCATCATCATCATCATCATCTTCATCCTCTTACTGCAGGTACTGATGATGATGGAGACAGAAAAATTTTAAATAAGAAAGAGAACATGGCCACTAGGTGCAGCCAGTGTATACTCACCATATCCCAGGCCCTGTAGGAATAATCTGAAGGCATCACACACTTTCTCTGGTGCCTCCTCCAGGGGCATCCCACCACAGTCTGAGATCTGGAACACAAAAATCATAGTGTATATATCTTATTACTGGACAACACACACACACACACACACACACACACAGTAATACCAAAACTAGCTGTAGTCAGAAATCTAGGGGCAGTGCTATGCATGTAACACTTGAAGACACCTAGAACTAAGAGGGCACAGAAAGACAGGCCCCTTCACTAGAACTGATAATAGTAATTACAGACTCTTTAAGACTGAAGTCATTTAGTGACACAGGCCCCAGTGTGGTACCTAGTGCCTAGTTTCTGAAGTGTTGTAAGTATATAACTCAGAGACCAGAGAGAGCCAAGCCCACTCCTTGCTAAGACAAGTAAAGACATCAGTCATTTAGTGACCCAGTGTCTTACCTTCATCCAGCTGGTTTTGCTGGGGTCAATCCTGGAGTTCATGTCCACCATGGCGTCCAAGTGAGGAGAGTTGTCTCCAGCCATCAACAGGACATCACAGCTACAATTAATTAATGTATTTGCTCACATTACAATTATAATTATTATTACTTCTGTCAAGAACTACATTCTCTTAATCAAGGCAAATGTACAGACACTGAACAGGAAATAATAAATAATACTGATGGCGACAACTGATGCAAGGAATAACTGTGTCTAGACTATACAGACACTTTAACTCTTTAAAAAGCATGGACCTATTTCTATTTAGTAATTCTAATAACTGTGACATGGTTAGAGAGTCTACTCACTCCAGTGCCCTGGCCCCTGTGTTCTTTCCTGGTGTGCTCTTAACGCCAAGCTTTGGAAGGTCTCTGTGAACTGCTAGAGCTGTACGCCTGAAAATAAACAGGAGAAACTACTACTAAACTTTCTATTCTAAATTATCAAGTACCATTTCATCAAATACATGAATAAATATACAGATAAACACTGAAAAATACACAAATGAATAAATACTACTATTAAATATAACATCACTGCATAATGATATGAATGACAAATATTTCTGTTGTTGCTCTCAGGGCATTTTTACTTAGCCTGGCAACAATTATAAGATATCGATTTAATCTTGCATTTACCAAACCCATACTTGTGTAAGATACGAACACAGCATTATTTTTACAAGTCTTACACCAAATCTAGTGTGTGTGTGTGTGTGTGTGTGTGTGTGTGTGTGTGCACGAGTGGTCCACTTACTTTGTGTAGGACTCTATGAACAGTGCCAGGTTGTGAGGGTTGATGTGTTTCATGGTGTCTCTGTACATGCGAACCAGGTCGTAGTTTTGGTCCACAGTCTTCTGTCCAAACCAGTGCCACAAGAGATAGTCCTCAGTGAAGCCAGTCATACTGCCACTCTTTAAGTACCATGTGTTTAACTGAAATACACACCATTAAAAATTTATTAACTATGTTCAGCATAAACCAATGACAGAGGAGTCAAGATTTCAGAGACAAAAGTGGACCTTTTGAAAAATTCCTCAAAATGCAAGCACTGAAGGTTCACAGTTCCTTTTGGGCATGGTGGTCCACTAATTAAACCCCCAAATATCCAATATTCTGGATAAAAAATAGTGTGGAAGACTTTTATTCTAAGATATACGCCACCTTGTGACTTGTGAGTGAACTGAACTTTGACCTATTTCGGATGAACTAACCAATGAGACGTGCTGTTACAAACCTTCTGCCATCCCCACTCTGTCCATCCAGACACAGAGGCAGTACAGTTGACCAGTGCCAGGGCATCCACCTTCTCAGGGTGGTTTAGCTGGAATGGTGATCAGTGTTATTATATAAGATACAATGTAATACATTAAGATAAAATGTATCCACAAAAGCTATTTTGCCATGTATTTTAAAATATTTATGTTACAATGTCTGTATACTTTATTTCCTCATGATTTCTCTTTTTTTTTTTTAAATTTCACCTGTGTGTACATGTATGCAAGTGTTTATTTATCTATAGACATCTAAGTTTTTTGTGCCAATGTCTGTGTGCTTGAATGGCATGTGTGTGTGTGTGTGTGTGTGTGTGTGTGTTTTTGAGTGTTAAAGGTGGAAGGAATCTTCAGTAGGTATCTTGGGGTAAGGATCCCCTTGAAGCCCTTTTTTATCAAGCTACTTACAGCAAATCTAGTCAGGATGTTGGCACCAGCTCCCATACCAAACCCTATGAAATGTTTGATACTGAAATACATACATACACAACAAAAGATGATACAGTGATATATTACGTGCAAGACCATTCAACATGCTCAGAACTCAGAGAGAGGACAATAAAAATGTTCAGTGAAATCAAGCATCTGAAGTTCCAGGTGTTATTTTCACATATGTGTGCGCAAATAAGGTGAATTTTACACCAAGTCTAGTCAACTGATACCAGCTCTCTTTTATATTTGGAAATTAAAGGCAATTTTTTTAATAGGTGAACATACCAAATTATAAACTCTTACCCATAAAACTGCAGCACAGGAAGTATCATTTCCGACAGCTCGTCCATGCTAGGAAAGTGGTATCTTAAATAACAACAAGATGAATGAACACAACAGGAAATAATGGTAATTTATTCAAGCACTTGTCAACATTTACAATACCATGCTGATTAATTCTGATTGGAGAGCAACTTTGTCTCTAAAGCAGTAACTGAGATCACTATTTTTTCTCATCATTATTCCATTAACATTAATCACAATGTTATGTATAAATCAGATTTTAAAAAATCTTGGTTAGAAAATTTATATGATTGACTGAAACCATCTCCATTTTCCATTCATTCCTTTTTCCATTCATCGAAAAAAAAAAAAAAAGTGGCCATTTAATTCTACAAAAAACAATTAACAAACCAACCACATTGGACAGAGAAACCTTGACAACAGACCAACATGAGAGGTTGTTTACCCTAGGCCTTTGCCAATCACATTCCCAGCTTTGGCTAACGACACCACACTGAGAGGCAGCATATGCAGTATATAGACATATATGAGGCTAACATGTTGAACACATAGCCACAGTCCCAGGAGCCATGTCTACCAGTTTCTATATTTTCAAACTTCCACACATGCTGGTTTCTAGCATTTCAGGCCTTATGTATGGATTAGGCGTTTACAAAATGGAGCTTCGGATTTGTGAATACAAATGCCTAAATTAACAACTACAGCCACAAATGATCTCCACAATGTAAAGTTAGTAGCCATTAGTACTTCAGGACCAACAAGCCATATATCCAAATTGTTTGGGAGGTCCAATGCTGCGCTCATGGCAAATAATTTTACCTTGGGGTGCTCAATTCGTGGCTGGAGTCGTTTGTGCCCCAAATCTAAGGGTTGTATTAGCATGTGGCAATTGTCATTTATGAGGCCTGCATAATAACATCAGCATTGTTTTCTTAAGTAACTGAATAAACTGATAATTAGCATGGCATAAGGTGGGTTCTGAAGTGTGTTAATTTGTGATTGGTACCATGAACATCCACCAAAATGCCACCAATGGCCACAGTCTGATAAGAGCACACATATGGAGGTTTGAAAATGAAGAATCTGGAGCCCATAGGACCCGGGACAAGGTGTATGAACATTCTGCCCAGAGCATACTTAACACCAAGGATATATCAGTTTATGTATAAGTATATACTAGTGAAGGCTACATATTTATAATTCCTACCATTTCCAACCTCACCAACACCTGTTTCAAGGTTTTCAACTCTAGGCAGAAACTGGATATTTCAAACAAATTCATCCCTGAATCAGTAAAATTACCACAACTTGGGTACAAATGGTACTGGCAGAACAATAATAGATCTCTTCTGCATAATATTACTCAGCATGGCTGGTACCCAGATAGATGAGGGGGGAGGGCAACTCATGAAGGAATACCAATGAAATTGCTATAAATTCTGCCATATTTCACGTGGTAAATAAGGTATGAAATAACTGATTACAAACAGGTAAGGATAAAATAGCTTCAGTGACAGGTGGTTTTGCTTTCCTTTCTTTTTTTTTCCTACTATTTTTTTTCTCTTTCTGGAAATTTTATCAGTGTTCTCCCTGACATCTCATACCTTTTATCGGCTCCTTTGACGAGAGGCATTGCTGGGTCGTCGTGTGGCTCCGTACTGCAAAATGGACTGACTAACGGTGATGATGCCAGTATAAAATGTATCAGTAGCACACTAGCCTACTAGTAAATATAAAGTTTGCTCACCAAAGCCAGTAGCCACAACCAAGAGGATAGAGATACATAGCAACAATACCCAACATCCAGGAAGGGTGGGTGGGGGTGAGGGTGGTTAGGCACCCCTTTCATGTAGCCAAGCAATAGAAATTTTTAAGGAGGGAAGGGGGGAAGAAGCTTTTGTTCAATTCTTTTTTATACAATTTTTTTTTTTTTTTTTGAAACTTAGGTAGCATTTGTATAAGTGAACACAATATAAAAGACTGCATGGGGTTGGAGAGACAGTCACAACATTTACTGAAGCAAGCTTTAAAAAATATCACAGGCCATAACATTAAGAGTCCAAAGTTGGACATTTTGTTCTTGCATTACAAAAAGTACCAAAAGATGATTCAAAAGATTTGGTCAAAGGTACCAAGAGTTAACTAGTCTAAAGTTGGAAAAACCCTGAAAAAATTCTTATTTCCCTTCACCGTAACTCAATGTAAATAAGATGCTTTAGAAAATTTAGATGATCAAGTTCCCAAATTAAAACGAAAAAAAAAAAAAAAAAAAAAAAAAACTTAAAATCATTATGTAAACTTAAATAGGATATACATGCAATTACCACTAATTACGAGTAAGTTATCCAATATTCAATCATTTCCTTTGCCCATCTGGTTTAAAAATCTATTTTTTCATTTGTAAATTGATTAATATTTCTTCTCTTTGTAGGACCAGGAGGGTGCCTCATGGATAATGACATAAAATGCAACATTTCACATTTGATAAACTCTTCTCAAGTTACTAATTAAGTGGGCTGGTACCATGTCTCAGCAGCAGCAGCTGTTTTATAATTCTAAAGATAACCCACACCATACCTGTCCCAGCTGACAGAGAACAACTCTCTTCAGCTTCAGTTGACAGAATAAGGCCCCATTGGGGAATAAACAGCATGACAAGGCTATACAGCTAAAGCTACCTGAACAAGCTAGAGATCCAATGAATGAAGCCAGCCAAACATCGTCCTACAATTGCTGTGATTGCTGCTGACAAAACATGATACTGCTGTGGCTGTTAGCACAACATGTCCCAGTGGCTGAAGTTGGCATAATGTGGCCCTACAGTCACGCCTTTAAGCACTATTACTAAAACTAGAGCAAAGTCATCTAATGTTGCAGTTGGTGAGACACGAATCCCAAGTTCTCAAACCAGTTAAGCTAAAACTATGATTGTCTTAAGCTGCAGTACACACAGCAACCCTCCAGCTAAAGTAGACACTTAGTCCTACAGTTTCTTTTAAAATGGGCAGAAAAAGTTCATCCTAAAAATGCGATGAACAGGCCACAAAGCAATCTATTCTCCAACTGCCCAATATACTAGCGAGAGAAATATACTCAGCCCAAACTGGCTGCCATCTAGCAGTCTGGTTACTACATGTAATTGACTTGGGGTTTACAGGCAGTGCTGCCACACTGGAGACTGAAGATAAAGATGGAATCATAATTAACTCTCATATCAGAGATTATATTTCACCACTTACAAGCCAAGAGGCTTCTTAAGTGAACTGAACTTGGTGGTGATCTCTGTTTCAAACAGAAAAGAGTGAATTATAATTCCATCTTTTTTTTTTAGTTTATAAAGAACTGCATGAATCAAAACTTTCATCCTAGCACAGGAGAATGGATAAAACATCACCCAGACAACAAAGCTCTGACTAACATGTAACACAACATAAGTGCACTATGCCAAATAGCATATAGCCCAAACTACAGATAAACCACTGGTGAACATACACAGTGTTGCAACACTGGTACAAAAACAGCATCTTTCACAGCATTAAAACACTGGGACACAGAAACCATTGCATCTACACAGCAGAGAGAGAAACACCACTGCACAAAAAAACAGGAGCAATATTATTAACTTTAAGTACAAGCTCCTCATTATCTTCTGCAGCAAACATCTATCATAGTGGGAACTAGTGACAGTTTTCTATGAAATAATTTTCTGGGAAAAATAATTAACTATTGTCTTATCTTTAGACACCTTACAAATAATCATTTCAAGTTTAACTTTGTAAATAAAATTACTAAAATAATTAAACCTAATACAAAAATGTGATTATTATGTCAAACAAGCACGCTGACACTCATGCCAAAAATTAAGCAGGAGACACACAAATAAAAGATGCGACAAACTGTCAAACGTAAAAATACCAAAGCAAAAAGAAAGGGTATATTTACTTCATATTCCTGTAAAGAGAATTTGAAAAAAGAAAAAGAAAAAATAAAATAATTAAAAAGTGTAGAAACAAAATGATTAATCAGGCATTGCATGAAGTACGCAAGGTCATTACTGAAACTAATTTATTCATCATTGAAAACAGTCTATTTTTGACAGGAAGTACACACACCATTTTTTTGACAGCAAATACAGACACCATTTTGGCAGGACATACACGCCAATGTGTTTTCCACATTAACATCTCTCACAACTGTATTTTGTCAATACTTTGCCACATGTATTCTCCAATGGTAATAGGAAACTGATCAATACAAAAATTAAACTACTTGATGGGATGCCAAATCATACAGTACACATGTGGTAAACATAGCCAGAAAGAAGGATAGATACCCCCACTAACACAAAGATATCTACATCATCCGCTGTATCTGTCACTCAAGCAATCAATAAACAAACAACATTTTGACTTTCTAAAAGGAAAATATCAAAATAAGAAAAAAAAATGCTTTTCCTCCTCAAACATCTAGAAGCCTAACCAATTAAATATATTAAGTTTTTTTTTAATCAAAAGCATGAGTGACACAGACATGCAGGACTCTCTACCCCAGATTTATAACTCACTTGTCCAAACTAGTCGCTAAACGAAACAACTGGCAGCCAATCAATCAACTTGCTTTATATCAAAATGGAAATTTTAGAGCCCCGACATTGCCAATATGCTGGCATGGAACAGCAACGGCCAAATCAGTCAAATCAGTGACCATTTATCAATTGGGTTTTTTCATAGGAAAAACTCATACACGTTCAGGATCATCATCTTTTTTTATCTCAGCATGCGAGTAACACATCTTGAATCATTCGGGAAGCAATGGACTCACAGACAAAATAAACTTTATGATGTATACCTTCGTCATTATTTAACTCCAGTCAGGCACCATTACTTAAATCACTTATTTAAATAAAGTTTTATAGCAAACATGAAAGGACACAATGTGAGGATATAGCCGTGAAAACAGATCTCTGTGTGCATGCGAGTGTGTATTTGATCACACACTCACATGCACACACACACACACACACACATGCATGCATACACATATTAACTTTATCCTTGCCAGGAGATCCAGTTAACAGTAATCACAGTGAAACTGAGGAGAAAAAAATCAATACAAAGTGGAGGTACTCTGGGAACCCAGTTTGACAGGAAGGAGTCTGGGGAGATAGAGATGTGTGAGTGCAGGAAACAAATCACTGTCCATCTGGACAGGTTGGAGAGGAAAAGGACATCACATATTACATGAAAAGGGATGTTTGCAGGCAGTGCTTTCTGTAAAAGAGAGAGAGAAAAAGAGAGAAGGAGAGTTTCTGACTGTGCAGAAGGTGAGCTTGTCTTCCATTCTAAGGTGGGGAACGCACTATAAACCAAAATACATAAAATACTCAAAGGACAATAAAATCAGTCATCCATGAATGTCAGTTAAACCAATCCCCACATACAGTGTTGTGTTTTTGATCATTTCTGAGAAGCCAGGCCAATGCAATAAAAATCAAATGTCAAATTTCATGATGTCAACTAATTTGCGATATCTGTGTCAATATCTTTGGATAAAGCTCCCACTATACCAGCTGAAGTTTATATAAGTGAGGAGTTATCCAGCTTTTTGCCAAAATGCCGTCAAAATTGTCAGTAGGATTTCTTTCATTAAAGATTTCATGAATCACATAAATCAAACCTACAACCACAGCTTAATAAGCCTTTCAGCAAGCAAGGGTATAGGTTTACACAGTGGAGTACAGACATGATATATAAGATAAAAGTTAATAATTAAGTGGAGTAAGTGTCCAGGTAATAAATGGATAAGAAATAAGAAAAGAACATAGATGTGAAAGGAAGCTTAATCTGCAACACTGGTCACTGGTCTTAGAAAACTGACCAAAACTAGCCACTTGTCCACATAAACTGACCAGTGGCTTTGGCTAAAACTGGTAAAAATTACCAAATTTTTGGAAAATTTTACTGTCATCTTAAATATTCTTCCTTACTAAATTTTGACTGGGACCATCACAATAAGTAATTAACCAATTTCCATACTATTTAGTTTTGTATCTGTCCATACAATTTATTAATTCTGATTGGGACAATCATTCTCTGAAGTCTGGCAGTCTCAGTGACCAGTAGGCTGTAAATATTCAGGTGCAGACCGTAAAATAGACAGCAATTAATAAAGACGGCAGGTGCCCACAAAAAAAAAAAAAAAAAAAAAAAAAAAAAAAAAAATTAGGTGAGAACCAGGATAACATCACAGATAGGAGGGTGATGGGTATAAAGTCTGGAGTATATTTATACTTACAGCTGGGGGGTTAACCCCACGGTATCCCCTGTCTCCTGGTTTGAGCTGAGCCAGAAAGCAAGCAAGAAAGACAAGGTATAAGCTACAACAGGTTGCCAATGACAACAGGAACAATGTTACAACATCAGCCTAGACAATATCGTGTCAGGTTGCCAATGGCAACAGGAACAATGTTACAACATCAGCCTAGACAATATTGTGTCAGGTTGCCAATGGTAACAGGAACAATGTTACAACATTAGCCTAGACAATACTGTATCAGGTTGCCAATGACAACAGGAACATCACTCACATCAGTCTAGACAATATTGTGTCAGGTTGCCAATGACAACAGGAACAACTGCTACAACATCAGCCTAGACAATATTGTGTCAGCTTGCCAATGACAACAGGAACAGTGTTACAACATCAGTCTAGACAATACTGTATCTGGTTGCCAATGACAACAGGAACAACTCTCACATCAGTCTAGACAATATTGTGTCAGGTTGCCAATGACAACAGGAACAACTGCTACAACATCAGCCTAGACAATATTGTATCAGGTTGAGAAGTGCAACTATCCACAATGAAACTATCCGTACAGCCAAATACTAGAAAACATTTTTGTTTCACATTCCTAAGCTGAAAGCAGGCATGTTATCAATCTTGTCAACTATATATCTTTACATTTTTTTTCTTAAAATTCCTTGAAATTTCTTTGATTTTTTCCATTTTATACAAATCTTTTTAGTCTGTATGAAAAGTTATCACAAAGGGTGCTTTTTTTTTTACTTCATTACAATTATAAAAATAATTCATTAATTATGAAAATGAAGACATTTTTGGAGGAGATGAGGTAGGGGTTGGGTAAATGCAGCACTGATTACTAATAGTTTAAAATGTTGATTATCCATCCATGGGGCTTGAAGCAAATTTCTTCTGACTGAAGTGAAATTTTCACATTAACAGTCGTATCTTTGTTTCTCCTCATTGCTTGGTAGTAAAATGGTGTTATTGTGACACCAGAATTCATATATAAACATGAGAACCAATATGAAAGCTTCCCATCACCTCAGTATCTAAATATTAAGATTACCTCACAGAACATTGATCACTGTGCCCAATGAGGATTTTAAGATGTTAGTTATATTAGAGGACGCAATTTTATGGGATTTAGGTAAGAAAAATTTTAGTGGTTCATCCATATATATATATATATATATATATATATATATATATATATATATATATATATATATATATATATATATAAGTGAGATAACAAAAACATGTTATCTATTTATCAATCATATTGATACCAAATATTAAAGTTAAGTTTATTCCATGAAAATATCCCATAGTCCATGCTAAACTCCTAGTTAGTGAGATTATTATCCTTTCACTAATAATATCACTGCATTCTAATAAATCCATTTAAATGAAAAATTTCCCATAGTCCATGCAATAATTCCCATCAGAGAGATAATTAAGATATTCTGTCCATTAGAAAAACATCGTCCTATCCATCATTCCTCTGTAGGGACGTTTTCCCCCCCGCATGATAAACCCAGCATGTATCACCTGATACCAACAGTGAGCAGAGAAAGTATTGGGAGTTCTCACTTGATTGCTGTCAAAGCTAGGGTAATATCCGATATGGCATCAAATCCCACAGTGAAGACTTAAAGAAGATTTTGGTCTATATTCTACAGCAGGGATTCCCCAGGGTTTGGGGTGCAGTGAATCCGAAATGTGAATTTGTAATTTGGTCATCGATTTACAGGGAATCCAGCCCAAGCAAGGTCAACAAACTAACCCCAAAATTTTCCAAGTTGTCCAGTCATCTTTGGAAATGTAGGCCATCTTTTAGGGCCAAAAGCCGTCCAAATGATAACAAGCCTGGTCTCTGGGGAAAGCTTTGTTTACAATGGGTTTCTCACTTGATTGCTGTTGAAGCCAAGGTGGTATTGGAAATATAGCAGCCTACATCCCACACTATGATTTGGGTCCTTAGTTTATAACCAAGGGAAGCCCTCTTGTATAGCTGATGTTAGCCATTCAAAATGTTTCCAAATTATTCAAACATTTCCAAACTATTTGAATTGTCTTAATACGTTAGTTATCTTAAAAAAATTATTTTTTTAAATTATCAATTCCTAGATTCAGGGTAGTTACAGTTCACACAAAATTTAAAGTTTCAAAGTCTCTCTAAAGTTCTATCTTAAGTTTCAAAATGTTAACAAAAATACCCCAAAATACACCAAAGCATCCATATTAATTACAATTGTTCATTCTGTGAGAACATCCTTCATGTCATACTCTGCTCAGCGTCGCCATCTGCTGGGTTTATCATATGGAGTGCTAACAACACCACACATGCATAGTAAATGTCTGAAACTGCCACTTGACCATCATACTGGAAGTCTACATCAATCTTAAACTGGTTATGATGACATAATACACATCATAATATAGCAGACAGAAATGGACAATTATAAACTAAAGCACTCTGACAGTTAAAGCATGACATTATAAACAACATGAAGGAATGGGATGTAATTTAAAGCATGAAAATGACCAAATGAAACGGCAGTTAAAGCATACAAAGAGCACAAGGGAATAAGATTACATTTCAAAGAATGGAAGTCAGAACGACTTCTGAATGCCAGTGATTGGACATAAATGCACATAATTGGAGATAAATTAAATGTCAATTGTTTCGCTGTAAAATAAATAGGACAAGATACTGCATGTCATATCACCATCACATACAGCAAGTTTCTATAGCAACTGTTATAACATGTGACTATTACAGAAATTCAACTTCAAAGCTCGTGTAATTCTCAATAATTAATGTTGACTTATTGAACATTTTCACTGATAAAAAGAGGTTTTAAGTGAAACAATGGTTAAGAAATTCACTGTATTGATTAACAAAATTGCCAGCAACTTACGGTTCCTTGGGATTTTCAATCCATTGTTGGAAAAAAATCCCAAGGTCAGACAAAGTCAGTCTGACACGTTTCTAGCAAAATGACATAAAGCACACATTTACCAAGAAAACAGTCAGATTTCATCATCTGGAGAGACAATGCAACAGACTGTTATCTTAGGCTGCATTCTGAACAGTAATCTTACTAGTCCGAGGGACATATATGGCCAACCCACATGAATACTTCCCTGTGGGGAATCTACCTTGTGTCTACTATTGGATTAGACGGCAAGCTCTTTGGTGGGTTGTCATATTTGACCCGCGGACTAGTCAGTCTACTGTTCTGAATGTGGTCTTAGACACAGACACCTGGTTAGATCACACCCCAAGAACAGTTCACTTTAACTAAACTGAAAGAATACACACATGCTTTCCCAATTAACTGTTCACATTTAGTAATTACTTAATGTCATGCCTTCAGAAACACTGGGAATTACATCTGAAGTGTCTTAACTGATGACTTTTGGTATTAAAAAAATGACAGTCAAGTCTTTGAGCCATGTTTATGAGGTTACTAGAAAAATGATCTTTCCATTTGAATAAGAAGCTCTCCTGTAAATAAATACTAGAACTCTCGATTTCATAACATACAATCAATATTCGCCACACTACTAGTAATACTAAAATGCACAATTCATTGCAAAATCTGAGTTATGTCAGAATATAATTTCCCATCTTGTTTTTGTCTTCTGTAGAAACTGCGTTTTATACAATTTGATTACTAAATCCAATCAAGTGATGTTCAAATAATCATGACTCTCAAATGACTCGTCAGTTTTCTTGCACTTCTAATGCTTCACATGCCAAATATGAAACAATTGCTCTAAGATTTTACTGAAGATAATCTCAGTGCAGCTGTACCAGTAACAAAGTCAAGTTGAAAGTCATCATTAAGATCTGAGTATAAACTAGAATGTCAAACTTCGATCTTAATGATGTTCATGGAATATTCAACACATGCCACTGGCACTCTTACATCCTGTTAAACAAAACACACCAAAATCCTAGCTTTATAACAATCAATATTGAATTCGACACTGATGGAATAGAGCCAGGGGTTTGTATATAACGAGCACGCATGCACATGCAGATTACATGTTGTCTAGGGATGCCGTTGCTGCTAACGTGGTAGTCGCACACCCGTTGCTGGCATCCACCTCTACAATAGTGAAGTTGCTGCATGCCGCAGAGAGAGAAAGAGAGGAGAGGGAGGAATAACGTGATTCGTAGTTAACAAATGCACATGCACATATTGTGTTCAATTAAGGGCTGACTTAGCCTTGAAATAGACTAAATGGCATCACAGGAGGTTCGGACTGAGGTCAAGTATCTATTACCAAGAATGATCAAACAGAATGTACGATTTTACCCAAAAAAGAGGTCTTCTAAAACTGAGATAAAAAGTTTGCTTTTAGCATCTGTAAAATCTTGACCAAGGTGTGTCATTTCACAATTTTTTTTTCATAAACCAGATTGAAATCCTTGATTAAAATGGCTCTAAACCAAAACTTTTTGCCTCCCAATGTGCAATTCACTGACACACTGAGATGAAATCATGGCCACAGAGAAATTATGAATATCCCTCGTACACGATATTAGTCTATTTCAAGCAACAATGATATATGCACAAATCCTTCAGTTCTTATTTTGGGGCAAGGCAGTAGGTGATTTGCCCCTTCATTTTTTTTAGAACAATCATAATTTTAGTTTTAAAAATCCATCGCAAAATACCATTTCTTCACCAATTTTCATTGATTTAAAAATTGCCTTTAATTTTTCACAAGGCAAAATTTACTAAAAAGTTTGATTAAAACAAAGGAGTTCTCTCTCCAGCGCAACATAATTCTTCCCAACGACACCATCGTCAAGTTAGTGCTCGATGTCAATTAAACTACAGTAACCACTCACAGAATTCAAACACCCAAATGACCTAAATTTCTGTTTTCTTTTTTCTTTCATGATTTGTCATTACAAGTTAATCACTAGGACATAATTTCTGGCACAGAACCAGTTTACTTACTGGCTCCTCAAAACTACATTATCAGGTTTTGCCAATAAAGCATTGTTTGGGAAACATCATCAATCAAATTTGTTCTAATTCCAAGAGTAATTACCATTATTCATCAGCAATACTTCAGACAAAGCAATGGGACTCCTTTCAGCATTACAAAACTCAATATACCGTAAGATGTTTTTTGCCGCCTTTCACATTTGCTTTATCTGCAGTTTTACTGCCCTTTATTTTGACAGAAATTTTCAAGAGCTAGCACATGATCAAGTTTTCATTTACACATGCCATCAATGTATCACATTAGTTATTGTGATTCTCTGGAGAGGCATAACGTATTGATATTTCTAATCATTAGTGAAATTGCTCATTCAGAACTGTTACAGCTTTTATATGAATATTATAAATATTGTGGGTACAATTTCTCAAGTCGACCAGATTTTTCTAGTAAAATATTGTAGGTACAATTTCTCAAGTCGACCAGATTTTTCTAGTAAAATATAAAATGCTGACAAGAAACAGTGCAGTTTTGAGATGCTGGCAATGTTGAGACATAAATTAAATTTTCCAATCTTAAATCCAAACAACTCCTTCAAAAAGCAAGGACAGTATCCCAGCTGAGGCAGCTGTTATTTCGACCATATTTTCCATTCACAATGGATGCACAATCTGGGGGTTTATACACCATCTAGAAAGCATGCTGTTTGTCATACCACAATATGATTACTATCATATCATTTTGAGCACATCCAGACCTCACTCTTCAATTTTAGGTTATGTAGGCAAAAAAGTGCCATCATTTGTAGGAAATTCATGTCTAAATTTACATCTAAATTTTAGATAGCATTTAAAGTGAATAACCCTACAGAAACAAGGCTTGAAATTCACGAGATTTTTAAATTTTTTTTCAACTTAAAAATTATTCACATTTTTAAAATTAATTTATCAAATTTAAAAAATATATATTTTTTAAAAAACATGAATGTGCTGTAGGTTGGTATAAAATTATATATGTTTTAAAAAACATGAATGTGCTGTAGGTTGGTATAAAATTAAAGTCTGAATGAGCTCAAAGCAAGAGTTTTGTGAAAGCAACAACAGCAAGTGATGCATATAAGCTATCTAGTTAGCAAATCATTGATTTTTACAGCATCCAAAACCATTTGTCAAAATGACCTGCTCTGGTTTAGATGCAAACCACCCACACAAAACATATTTGCCAGGATGCAGATACAACATGTGCCAACTAGCAAAGGTTATAAGGCTTAATTTTATTGTGTTTCTGCACTGACTAGACTATCAACTGTTCAACTAGTCCAACATGCCCAATCTTATTGTTAGTTTTAATCAAGAGTCATGTCTATGTCTGAGTTGGCAAATGTAAAGGGAGAAAAAAAAACACCATTTAGGTTTAATCTAGCAAAATTTTAATTACAATTTCAGCCAGTTTTGCAATATTTTCAATTTTTGTTCAGCAAAATATAAAGTTATTAAGCCTCTTTATTTTAGATTTTTATATCATTGCGAAAGTCTAGACTATGACTGACAAGTACAGTAATAGAGTGAGCAGAGGGAATAAAGCTCTGCATCAAGGCTGGCAGTGTGAAGTTATACAGTGAGGGAGAAAAGCAGATGCATCAATTAATGCTGTCCTTGTTTTCGCAACTTGATATTAATATATTTTTATACCCAATGCATATATGCTGTTCAAGGTGACTTTGTTCAGTTATTAAATTCTTAAAATATGAGAGAGAGAGAGAGAGAGAGAGAGAGAGAGAGAGAGAGAGAGAGAGAGAGAGAGAGAAAAGATGAACTGATGACAGAGCACCCAAACAGCATACATGCATTGTATAATTTAATTAATCATATAACACCAGTAATTATACATCCATAATATACACATACCCTAGCAAGCAGGATTACATGTTTCACTATATTTATAACTGCTGGGTGAAGCTCTTTCAGTCTAGTGACACACCAGGGGATCTTATCTCAAGAATTATTTAAATAATGAAACTGTAATTAAAACCCACAAGAGTTGATTCAATCTGCTGAGTATGTTTTGATTTTTGCCAACAAGAGAGACAACTGCAGCTTGCTTTAATACTTGAAACAATTCTGAAAACTTACACCAATGTATGTGCATGTGTGTGTGTGCATGTGGGTACGTGCATGTTTGCATACATGTATATCTTTGTCCATGTCTGTGCATGTGCATGTGTCTTTATGCATGTGCATGGATGTAAGCGTACAGTTGGGAGTGGGATACTGAACTGATAATTTTTTAGTACTGATACCAATCTAACACATCTCTTCATTGAGACAAGCACCCTGAGTGTCACAGCCTCCAAAGCACCTTACCCCTCTGGTCACCAGTCACTTCCTGGTTAATCTACTACTGATCATAGTCACTGATTCACAGGGTGCTAAGACTGACAGCAGTGCGTGATAACTATATAATGATATATATATAATATACAAAAATATAATAAGTTTTACTTACACAGGTGCCTTGGGGTCCCCTATCTCCTGTCTAAGAAGTATACAAAACAGACACACATTGTTAGTAGAACACACCACTTTAGACTCACACTAGCTGATATAATATCACTGCAACGTTTTAGCCAATAAATGAAAAATCCGTCTAACATGTTGCATTTTTTTTTCTTTTCTTTTACTTGTGACCATTTTTGAAATATACCATACACTAGGGTGAGCCTAAGAAAGAACTTCAATACAGAATATTATGTTTGATATGCTGTAAGTTCATAGCAATAAGTTTTAATTGAATAAATGCTAAAATCATGATATCCCTGAAAGAAAGTGTTTCAAAATGATAAAAGGCAGGTTGTAATCAGAAGGTTTCCAGGATTTAATAGTGTTCCAAAAACAAACATTTTTTTTCTTAAACTAATTTTATCAACAATTCTGCATCAAATTCCACAAAATGGACATTTAAATACTAAATAAAACTGATTTAATAATGTTAATTAAATTAATTAAATGTTAATTAAAAGCATGTTTAATTTCTCTGAACCAGTTTCTCAATAGTTTGTCTCTGAATTGGATGAACTGAGCAATGAATTAATTTTCCAATACAAGTCATTTTATTTTCCTCAGCCCCTGGAATGATAAGTACTAAAAAATCCTCTCCATAAACCAGGTCAACCCAGATGGAAAAAAATCAAGATGGAAAGGTCAAGTGAAGCTACTCTGAGTGTCATACCATAGTCAGAGATATCATATTGGCAGTTCAATGATTAATGTAATATTATTATCTACATATTTATGTGAACCTTGGAAATGTTCACTTGCCCCAATTTATTATTCTAACCTGTCAATTGGGACTTTTATAAAGTATATTCACGCTAGAAAAAACGCTCAGAGTGCAGAATGCAGCCATAAATGGACTTGGTGCAGAAAAGCACTATCGAATCCCCACAAATACTAATGAAAATGCACTTTTCACAAGTATAATGCAGTAATATGTCATAAAACAACACCTGTCATGTATTTAGAACACAGCCATGCATTATTTATCCAATATCTATCATGGTTCCTTGGGATAATAGAAAAACCTGTCATTTTACAACATTTGTGTTGAAAGAGCATCAATAATATACCACCAAACNAGAGAAAAGATGAACTGATGACAGAGCACCCAAACAGCATACATACATTGCATAATCTAATTAATCATATAAAATCAGTAATTATACATCCATAATATACACATACCCTAGCAAGCAGGATTACATGTTCCACTATATTTATAACTGCTGGGTGAAGCTCTTTCAGTCTAGTGACACACCAGGGGATCTTATCTCAAGAATTATTTAAATAATGAAATTGTCATCAAGACCCACAAGAGTTGATTCAATCTGCTGAGTTTGTTTTGATTTTTGCCAACAAGAGAGACAACACTGCAGCTTTTATACTTGAAACAGTTCTTAAAACCTATACCAATGTATGTGCGTTTGTGTGCATATGTGCATGTGCATGTTTGCATACATGTATAAGTGTGTGTGTGTGTGTGTCTTTGTGCATGTGTGTGTATCTTTGTACATGTGCATGTGTCTTTATGCATGTGCATGGATGTAAGTGTAGGGAGTAGGATACTGAACTGATAATTTTTCAGTACTAATACCAATCTAACACATCTCTTCATTGAGACAAGCACCCCGAGTGTCACAGCCTCCAAAGCACCTTACCCCTCTGGTCACCAGTCACTTCCTGGTTAATCTACTACTGATCATAGTCACTGATTCACAGGGTGCTAAGACTGACAGCAGTGCGTGATAACTATATAATGATATATATAATATACAAAAATATAATAAGTTTTACTTACACAGGTGCCTTGGGGTCCCCTATCTCCTGTCTAAGAAGTATACAAAACAGACACACATTGTTAGTAGAACACACCACTTTAGACTCACACTAGCTGATATAATATCACTGCAACGTTTTAGCCAATAAATGAAAAATCCGTCTAACATGTTGCATTTTTTTTCTTTTCTTTTACTTGTGACCATTTTTGAAATATACCATACACTAGGGTGAGCCTTAGAAAGAACTTCAATACAGAATATTATGTTTGATATGCTGTAAGTTCATAGCAATATCTTTTAATTGAATAAATGCTAAAATCATGATATCCCTGAAAGAAAGTGTTACAAAATGATAAAAGGCAGGTTGTAATCAGAAGGTTTCCAGGATTTAATAGTGTTCCAAAAACAAACATTTTTTTTCTTAAACTAATTTTATCAACAATTCTGCATCAAATTCCACAAAATGGACATTTAAATACTAAATAAAACTGATTTAATAATGTTAATTAAAAGCATGTTTAATTTCTCTGAACCAGTTTCTCAATAGTTTGTCTCTGAATTGGATGAACTGAGCAATGAATTAATTTTCCAATACAAGTCATTTTATTTTCCTCAGCCCCTGGAATGATAAGTACTAAAAGATCCTCTCCATAAACCAGGTCAACCCAGATGGAAAAAAATCAAGATGGAAAGGTCAAGTGAAGCTACTCTGAGTGTCATACCATAGTCAGAGATATCATATTGGCAGTTCAATGATTAATGTAATATTATTATCTACATATTTATGTGAACCTTGGAAGTGTTCACTTGCCCCATTCTAACCTGTCAATTGGGACTTTATAAAGTATATTCACGCTAGAAAAAACGCTCAAAGAGTGCAGAATGCAGCCATAAATGGACTTGGTGCAGAAAAGCACTATCGAATCCCCACAAATACTAATGAAAATGCACTTTTCACAAGTATAATGCAGTAATATGTCATAAAACAACACCTGTCATGTATTTAGAACACAGCCATGCATTATTTATCCAATATCTATCATGGTTCCTTGGGATAATAGAAAAACCTGTCATNCCAAAAGAAAAAACAGTTTCCCATTTATCGGTTTATCGGTAAAAGTGCACGGCGACGGCGACGACGGCGACGGCGACGACAGACGCAGATGATAGCTATATGTACAGACACATCTGTGTCTGTACATAAAAACCTGTCATTTTACAACATTTGTGTTGAAAGAGCATCAATAATATACCAGCCAAACTGACAGCACATGCCAGCACTGACAATCAATTCAAGCTTTTTTTCCCCTTTACCATCTCTTCCATAGTCCTGTCCTGTACATTATGGGAATCCCCATAATACTACACACAGTCCCACAACCACTTGGCACATCCCATAATATTAAGCCCCATCCCATAATTTTACATCACAACCAAAAACGATTACATATACAAACATTTATATCTGAATATGAACATTTAGATCAATCCATAAATACCATCATTTACTAACAATTTAGAGAATAAGTCTGACAATTGTACATACATTAAACAATACAAATTTATACAAATTAGTATGTTGACAAAAATGGACTTATTATCAATAAACAATGTTCATACCTTTGCATCAGTGGCAGAGCTCCGTCATGCTGTCCGGGGGCGTTGATGTGGTAGACGCAGAAGTGTCTCAAGATGGGCTGCATGTCGCCATAGCTAAAGAACCCTTGGAAGTTGGTCACATCTGGAAAAGACGACAGTTTGAAAGGATGTTTATAGGACACAAACTAATGTAAAATAGGTATCCGTACCTGTAAATAAGGACCAATGCTATTATAACCATACAACAGCATCACGCATATCAAGAACTGTCTAGAAAATCCAATTTTTCTGAAGCATTATTTGTGGGCCCATTAAACCAGGTATCTTCAAATTCTCAAACCACAATAAAGATCAACATATTTTACACCGAAGACTTCCATTAAACATACATTTACTTCATGTATTATTTGTTCAGGGACAGGTGCTTGGTTGACTTACGGTTCAGTCCTATGTCATGGTATGTGATGATGGCCGCCTTAGACCTGTCTCCTTGAACTGCCACGCGGAGAGTGCCACGCCCAGTCTCAATGTCATCTTCCTGAAACAGAGACACAGTAATGGAGATCAAACAAAAATCAACAGAGACATTGCAGAAGATCATTTTATGTAATAATAGTCAACTTAAACTTAGACAAATGTCAGTGTTGTTTTCCTTAAATAGAGAAACATTATGTAAGATGTAATAACAGTCAACATTAACCAATACTGGGATCTTCCTGAAATAGAAATACATTACAGAAGATGTAAATAACAGTCAACTTAAACTGAGACCAATGATGTTTTTTCCTGGAATAAACACACAAAAGACATGAAACTAAATTCAACCTATACCGGTCTCCTTAACACTATTTCACAATAACTTTCACTCTCCTTGGTGAAGAAAATAGCCAGTTGAGAAATGTCAAGTGCCCAAAATGTAGGTGAATAAATTCCATTTTAGTATTGTAAGCCATGACCAAAATGATTAGAACTATAGACTTTTAGTGGACCTATCATCTTAGACTACTAGTACTTAGTTCTTCAGCTTTTTACTTCATAATAAGCAGGACAAAAACATTTATCATCTCTAAGGCCCCATTCAGAATAGGAGCTAGACTAACCCAGGGTCAAATATGGCGACCCACTACAAAGCTTTCCATCTTATCTGCTAATAGACACTGAATAGATATTCTGTTGGGAAGAATTCTAGTGGGTCGGCCATATTTGACCCTCAGACTAGTAAGTCCCCTTTACATCAATACTGGCCTATGTGACCAGAGACAGTAACCTTTTCGGCTTCTGCTGCGCATTTACATAAAGCTCTCAGTATTAATGGAAATACCTATCAGATCAACCTGAGGCAAATCACGTCTGTATGTGATCCTCCTGGATTCCCCACTCCCCAATATAGATTGCCTGTGCATTTTCTTTGATCTCATGACTGTAAACCCTGCATGGATTCCTATTAACAAAGTTCAATTAATTTTTGCATCGATAAACTCTGAAAGCCTTCAACACAGACATCTATTGACTGCAGTGATTGTAAGTCATCAACTGAAATGTAATTTCATTCCTTATTTAACCAATGATGCAGATATTCAAATCATTCAGTATCAAAAATACATGTGCTGGTTGAAGACTTAAAGAAATAAATATTTTTCTTTAATAGATCTAATTTATAAAATTGTGAAGTGAAGATATCAAACACCTGATTATTTTCTACACCATAGCCGTTTAACCATTAAACCCTCATGACTGTTACCCCCTTTGGGCAATGCCCCTCCCTCCCTCTCCGATCCCTCTCTCTCTCTCTCTCTCTCNGAAGAATTCTAGTGGGTCGGCCATATTTGACCCTCAGACTAGTAAGTCCCCTTTACATCAATACTGGCCTATGTGACCAGAGACAGTAACCTTTTCGGCTTCTGCTGCGCATTTACATAAAGCTCTCAGTATTAATGGAAATACCTATCAGATCAACCTGAGGCAAATCACGTCTGTATGTGATCCTCCTGGATTCCCCACTCCCCAATATAGATTGCCTGTGCATTTTCTTTGATCTCATGACTGTAAACCCTGCATGGATTCCTATTAACAAAGTTCAATTAATTTTTGCATCGATAAACTCTGAAAGCCTTCAACACAGACATCTATTGACTGCAGTGATTGTAAGTCATCAACTGAAATGTAATTTCATTCCTTATTTAACCAATGATGCAGATATTCAAATCATTCAGTATCAAAAATACATGTGCTGGTTGAAGACTTAAAGAAATAAATATTTTTCTTTAATAGATCTAATTTATAAAATTGTGAAGTGAAGATATCAAACACCTGATTATTTTCTACACCATAGCCGTTTAACCATTAAACCCTCATGACTATTACCCCCTTTGGGCAATGCCCCTCCCTCCCTTTCTCTCTCCACATAAATCACAAATCCTCCTTCCAATCAATGAATGCAAGCCTCAGACTCAAACTCCAGATTAAACCTAGCTTGTCCACATCCTGACTCCAAACTCTTGACATTCCTTCCATGGGACTTGGTGCTGCAACCATAAAACCAATATCTCCCATTTTACATTGGACTTTTGTATTGAAGATATGAATATAGGGATGGAAATCCATTGATTCTGATGATCCCCTAGGAAAATATAAATTATCTCTTGGACACAATGTGAAACCGTTCCTGGAATGAGTTTTGTTTCTGATCTATTTTGTAATTCTGTACAGACTTGATCATCAACAATAACAATTTGACAGATTCGCTGTGGAACATAAAATATTTTTGCCAAAGTCCTGGATTATTGTACTACTACTAGTAATTTAAAAATTTTTTCAGGCATTGATAAATATCAAAAAAATGTGCCAGTCACCCTTGAACCTGTCAAAAACCACTAATAACAGATTTATCTATCAAAGACAGCTAAGATTTACTTCAATATCAGACTACTTCTACACTGACTCAGCTTTGATTGATTATGTTATAAAACACCTGCCCACCTGCGGAAAGTACAGCATGTTAACAGATAAAACACCTTCACATATCTTCTTTAAGATTGACATTTATCCTCTGAACAAATCAATGAGATGTGCCAATTTTTTTTCTAATTTACTTTGTTGGGGACAGGAAAGTTTGTATTTCACTGCAGATCTTTCAGGATTCAACCTGCGTACTTGGAAATATTGATGGGTCTACATCATAACAGAACCACTAATATAGCACTCCCTGATACCAAAGCTGGATTGCTTGTCTAGGCCTATTACTTTAAAATACTTAACATTCATAAGAAATGACACTGAGCAAGCTATAACTCTCTGTTCTTATGACTGTCTTGTGTTAATACTAGCAGAATGTAGTTGCACGCTGTAGTAGCGCAATTTTCCTTTTCTGTCAAATTTATTTATTTTGCTGATGACATCCCCATCTCTCAGAAATAACAACACTCGTTTCGCATTATTCCATGGGTCACGATGACATGGCTGCTGTAGGTGACCATCTATCTACCTGTATTCCCTGTAGGACAGGTGAGATAAAGCATGATGGAACCTAGAAGCTCATTACTAAGTAATGTGCCTACTAATGAGAAAAATTAGATAATTAGATGAATGGAATTCTTGATCACTATGGTTTTTGAGACACACACTCTGGGGTAACACTAGCAATTTTTTTCTCTTAGCCAAATCACTACTTCTTTGTCAATTTGTTATCCAAATGGTTATAATTTGACTAAAATAAGTCGAATCAAGCCCTTTTTGTTAAGCCAATTTAAGTCACTGTCAGTTTTAACATTTGCATGCCAACAAGAAACAAATCTTCAGGAACCTCAGAATTTCAAAAGATTTCAGCATACATTATGTTTACATTCAAATGATGAAGCAAATTTGTACAGGCAATACTCATGCTTCAAGGGCAAATAAATGAGAGAGAGAGAGAGAGAGAGAGGGGGGGAGACAAAATATTTGGTTCATCAATTACTAGTACTATAGGCTCAATATCTGGAATCCTCAACATCCCAGCATCCCAAGCATACCTTCAAGACTATGGTAAACATGAGGATTGGGAAGTAATTGAGGGAGAGAGGTTCAATAACTGCCTGCTTGCCCTGGATGGTCCTTGACTATACAGGACATATAAACACGAGGTTCCATTTTCAAGGACATATCGCTCAAAATAAACTGTGCTAGAGAGAAATGTCCAATGTCACATTGCATAATGTTAATGTCCCAAAGAGTCAAAATGTTAAAAATATATATCCTGTCGCTCATTTTCTCTCTCTCTCTCTCTCTCTCTCTCTCTCTCTCTCTCACACACACACACACACACACACACACACACACAGGCATTCACACACTCAACATAAAAAGAAAAATAAAAACATTCAGACGGGGGCCTAAGTATAGCAGCTGCATACAGATGAACTCCTCTACACTGTAAACAAACACTGAATTAATGTCCTGGCATGATAGCTGGCAAGGTTCAGTATTTGGGTTATCCGCTTGGAAAAAAAAGAAAGAGAAAAATATTCAAGAAAACATTTCTGCTTCAAAGATTCATCAGCACCAATCAAATGTTTCCCTTTAATGAATCCAACCTCACTTCCACTAATGAGAAAAGAGACATTTGGACTCAAGAGGAAATGAATTTGTTTCAATGTTGCTGTAGTAAGGCACAGAACAAGAAGATCACATTACAGGTAGCTGTGCTCAGGCATCCCAGGTACTCCGTATACTTGGCAATCCAGGTGAAAATACGGGCTCAGGTGTAAATTACCTCAGTAACACTTTAAACTTTCAATGCATAATTCCTGATTTGTGAAGGAGTAATCTGCTGAGCTCCCTCCAGACAGACAAAGTAATTAGTACTGCTGGGAAGAAAAAATGAAAACCAGTTTCTTCCTGCTCCCAGTATCACGTGTTTATTTACGGTACAAATATTTACATGGCTGCAACTGCAATTCATCATATACATGTGTACCTTGACATGACTTCGGGAGAAAAAGACAAACTCATAAGCGTGTTCCAGTCTGGTAAATTGTGTAGCAGTAATCACCCCTCCTCCATCTCACGCCCTTCCTTTGAAGGATATTACGTGAAACAAAATAATTCCAGACAAACATGCCGTCAATATAATTAGTGATATATTTCATGTGCCAGCTGGCCAACCCAGACTTTTTAGCACTAGGTTAAAATTTACTATGCTCAAGTTGACACAGACATATTTTTTTTTCTAAAATGATCAACCTTTCATCTAAGAGGTTAATGACAATTATAAAAGTGAAATCAAATTTCAAGTCATAGAATCTTTTCTGTTTTGGTGAGAAGGATTAATCAATTTTCTAACCCAGCTCTCCACCTGTTCAGGTATGATGTAACATACCTGTACTACTACAGAAGACAGGTGGAACTTTATCAAAACAAATATCTGTCTATTTAGACCCAAGAAAAATCAGAAAGAAATATTGGAAAGAAAGAAATGACTAAATTCAGTCAGACCAATATTTGCTATTTGAGCGAATTAAAACCAGTTCCTTATCAATTTAAATGGACTTTTTCTTCACA